TTAATGAGCCACCGCCAGTGTCATCGATGCTGTTTTAATTTGGTTTTCTTTTTTCCCCTTCTTAGAACTTAGTGCGACTGTATATAGTTAATTTTGTTGTCTTTTACTTTGGCTTTTTTGGTTTCTAGTTTAGGAATGAAGGGGGAAGTGGAGTTCAGTTTTTGGAGTAAAAACTTTGGTGCTGGCTTAGCTATTTTGGTGATGAATTAAAGGATCGGTTTTGAAGGTATTACATGTTGGTTGTTAAGGTTACGTGTTGGTTGTTAAGGTTACCGATCAATTGTTAAGGTTAAGGTCGGTTGTTAAGGTTACACGTTGTGAAGGTTACACATTGCTTGTTAAGGTTACATATTAGTTGTTAAGGTTACAGGTTGGTTGTTAAGGTTACGGGTCAGTTGTTAAGGTTAAAGGTTGGTTGTTAAGGTTACGGGTCGATTATTAAGGTTACAGAATGGTTGTTAAGGTTACGGAGGTTACCGAGGTTCACAACCAACTCATAACCTTAATAACCAACCCGTAATCTTAACAACTGACCCATAACCTTAACAACCAACCCTTAACCTTAACAACCGACCCATAACCTTAACAATTAACCTGTAACCTTAATAACTAACTCGTAATCTTAACAACCAACGTGTAACCTTAACAACTGACTCTAACCTTAACAACCGACCCATAACCTTAACAATCAATCCTTAACCTTAACAACTGACCCCTAACCTTAATAACCAACTTGTAACACCTTTACAACCGACGTGTATCCTTTACAACCAACCCGTAAACTTCAAAACTAACATGTAACATCCCTTCACCACTAACTCATAAGCTTAACAACAAATTTATTACCGTGAAATAACAATAATATATAAATTTACATACTCTATTTTAATCTCAAGTTATCGAGATTCACAACCAACCTGTAACATTAATAACCAACCCGTAACCTTAACAATTGATCCATAACCTTAACAACCAACCCGCAACCTTAACAACCGACTCGTAACCTTAACAACCAATCTTTAACATTAATAACTGATATGTAACCTTAATAACCAAACTGTAACACCTTCACAACCAACGTGTATCCTTCACAACCAACGCGTAATCTTCACAACCAAAGCGTAATCTTCACAACCAACACGTATCCTTCACAACCAACCCGTAACATCTTCACAACCAACTCGTGACACCTTCACAACCGACGTGTATCCTTCACAACCAACCCGTAACCTTCAAAACTAATATGTAACCTCCCTTCACCACCAACTCATAAACTTAACAACAAATTTATTACCGTGAAATAACAATAATATATAAATTTACATACTCTATTTTAATCTCAAGTTATCGAGGTTCACAACCAACCTGTAACATTAACAACCAACCAGTAACATTAACAACCGACCCGTAACCTTAACAACCAACTTGTAACCTTAACAACTGACTCATAACCTTAATAACCAATCCTTAATATTAACAACCGATCCGTAACCTTAATAACCAAACCGTAACACCTTCACAACCAACGTGTATCCTTCACAACCAACACGTAATCTTCACAACCAACACATATCCTTCACAACAAACCCGTAACACTTTCACAACCGATGCGTATCCTTCACAACCAATCCGTAACCTTCAAAACCAACATGGAACCTCTCTTCACCACCGACTCATAAGCTTAACAACAAATTTATTACCGTGAAATAGCAATAATATATAAATTTACATACTCTATTTTAATCTCAAGTCATTGATTTCCTTACAAGTATTCCGCCGATGAACGGACACCGTTTTATTCCTGACAGTGAAACTTTCTCGTCGTTTCCTTACAAATATTCCGCCGAAAAATACTAGTTTTCCTATGACTTTTTCTTTGCCTCATGAACAAACATCGAAAAAGTCGAAAAAGTATTACCGCCGATGTTGATGCCATCAAATTTTTTTAGAGGGAACTAGAATTTCCCCCCAAAACCCATTTTAAATCATCATAGTAACATCATGAAAAGGGGGGGGGGGAAGAGAGAGAGAGAGAGAGAGAGAGAGAGAGAGAGAGAGAGAGAGAGAGAGAGAGAGAGAGAGAGAGAGAGAGAGAGAGAGAGTATTATAGTCTTCACATATTTTAAACTCTTGGGTTTTGTGTTTTGTGGTCTCAAGGAATTATGTGTTTACTTTTGGGGGTTTTGGGAGAGTTGAAAAAGTCTTGGGAGGGGTGGAACACTTGTAATGAAATTAGGGGCTAGAAGCAATTTCCTCTTTGTTAAATCCAAAGGTACATTAGTTTATATTACAATTGTTATGACAAAATCCCCATGAATAGACTAATATTAATTACACAAAAGTGCAGAAAAATATTAAGAATACAAATAACACGCGGATATATATGATTCGGCTTGTAGTCTATGTCTACGGGCGAAGGAGTGGAATAGCTTTATTAACAATTTGTGAGGAATACAATACGTATATCACTCAATCACTCAACCCCTAATACACACCAAAAGCCTAATACAATCTCGATCTCTTAAACAAGTGGAAAAAAGAGCTAAAATATCTAAAAGGCTTCAAAAGGAGAATACTATTCTGTGACTTAATATGATTGGTGTTGTAGATTGATGGTGTATCTCTCGGATTGCCCCTATATGCATGTTTATGCAGTCCCCAAGGACCAATTACCTAAAGCCCATGAACCAATTACTTGAGGCCCGTGAAATAGCAACTCCTAGTAAATGTAGAAGTCCACTTTGATGGTTGAATTCTAATGCACATGGGATTCCTAATGTATTACTTTGATGATTGAAATTCCAACCAATAAATTTAACTTACCATCTACTTAAAGTGAAGCATGTGACCGAGCCTAAGTATTTGAGGCAAACATCAATAATACTCCACATTGACTCAAATACATAGAAAAGTTCTCACTCCAAATTAGCTAACTTACTCCATCTTCTCCAATAGCCATACATAGCATCTAAGTGCATCACATATCGATCAAGTACAAACTTGGCTTAAACTTGTCAACTGAAAGTGGCCTCCTCAACTAATCGACTGAATTGTCTGCAACACGACCATACCACTTACCAAAATCGTCACCTGAAGTAGCTCTTGAATAGCTGAATGGCACAAAATTATTAATTGACAATGCATAAGCTACTGAATCTTCATATATTCACGGTGATCGAATATTTCGTCTAGATCAATCTCTAGCAATAGTATATTCTCGCTCTTCCTGCAGCTACTGAGGTGCTTCATCTATTTGAATGAGATATGGCTATTGAACTTCCGTAATCCTATCTTGTTGAAGAGCTAAATCATGAATTTCTAACTCTACCTTCTATCCTGTAGTGCGCATCTCATCATCACCTAAAACTGGCGACTGTTTTTAGTGGAACATAGTGGACTCATCAAAAGTGACATCACTATTGATAATAATCTTAGGAGACTTCATATTAGGACACCGCAACCTAAAACCTTAAAAACCCGATGCATAATATAGGAAAATACACATCTTCGCTCGATGCATAAGTTTTCCTTGACTGTCATGCACATATGCAGGGCAACTAAATATTCTAAGATTAAATAATCTGCATGCTTACCGTACTAAACCTTCTCTAGAATTTTATAATCAATAGCAATAGATGGTGATCGATTCATTAAGTAACACGCTGTATTCACCACTTCCACTTAGTATTCCTTGCCTAAACTTGCATTGTGTAACATATAATGAGCTTTCTCTAAAAGGGTTCTATTCATATGTTCTATCACTCCATTCTGTTGTGGTGTACTAGGGACTATGTGATGTCTAACGTTTCCCTCCTTCTTGTAAAACTCGTTAAATTCTCATATACAAAACTCAAGGCCATTATCAGTTCTAAGCTTCTTAATCAGCCTCCCAGCTGCTTCTCAAGTAAAGACTTTCACTGCTTGAAAGTCACAAACATCTCATCTTTATGTCTAAAAAATTAGATCTTCCTGGAGTAGTTATCAATAAAGGTCAACAAATATCTCGAACTAATACCCTTCAAGGTAACTTGAGAAGGTCCCCAAAGATGTAAATAGATATAATCCAAATTACCTTTAGTCTGATACACTACCATACTGAAGCTGACTCATTTCTATTTTTTAAAGATGCAATACTCACAGAATACTAATTTTTCTATAATTTATCCACATAAAAAACTCTTCTTGCTCAACTCAGTCAATCACGCTCACTCATATGATTGTTGGATGTAAAAATTCGATCTCCCGCTTGAGGGATCATTTGTATTTATAAGAATGGCCTATTACAAACTAAGAATCAAACGTTTACAACAGAGGAGAAGGGAATGACCCTTCTTGTTTAACGTGGGTTCGTTGGCAGTAGTAGGATGCTTCCCTCGGTGCTCGTGCCGAGTTTGCTTCCCTTAGATGATCCGATCTAAGTTACGGTTGGATGAGTTCGAATCTACCTGAGCTTGAATGTCAAGGGAGACTACTCGGAAGAAGGTTTTAGCAAGCAAGTCAAAACCGAGCAGCAAATGAGAGAGTTAAAGACAGTTAAGTCTCTGCAATCTTCAAGCCGAGCAAATGAGAGAGCCTTTGAAAATGAGCTAAGGTTTAACATTTAGAAGATTAGCTAGCCAAGCAAGTAGCAGCCAATCCACCCCCTCACGTTGTCTAAAGGTGGCCTTAAATATGCAAGGGATGACATGTGTCATCCCTTAATTTGTGGGATTTGACCACTAGTAGGGGTGAGGGAGCTAGCCGCCTATTCTTGTAGTCATCAATGGCTACTAGGAGAGTTCTGGCCATGCCCAGCCTAGGTAAGGGGCGCCATGCTTCCCTAGCTGTGAGATGTGACCATTGATGTGACTACTCCCATACCCCAAGTAGGCGACTGACAAGTGAGCTTGACTAGGCTTTCAGGCGAGCTGGCGCTTGGGTCTGCAGGCGAATTAGAGTATGCAGGCGAGTTGGTGACGTTACAGGTAGGCTGGC